GAGGGATAGAGAGTTAGAAACATCAATGAGAGACAAACATCAATCAGCTGCCGCCTGCACACTCCCTACTGGGGATGTGCCCACAACCAAGGTACATGCCCTTGACCGGAATTGAACCTGGGACCCTTGAGTCCGCAGGCCAATGCTCTATCCACTGAGCCAAACCGGTTAGGGCTGAACTGATCTTTTCATTCTTGCTTCCCAGGTGTGGCTCTGGCTAGGGGACAAACCTTTCTGGGTCACAGTTCTCCCTGGCCATACCTCCTTAGAAAGGACAGGGACACAAAGCCGAATTTTTTCCTTGTTACAGTGGTACATTCAAGAGCACTGAGGCTGTCAGTGTATTAAAATCTTACATTTTTAGGCTATTTTACCTTCTTATAGTAGCATAGAAATAGCCTGGCCTTCTTTCTTTTTACAAATATATGGGAAAAACTGGTGTCATGGGTCCAAAATTCAAAGGAGGTAAAGGGTTTTGTGGTGACCGGTAAGTCTGTGTTCTAGTCACCCAGTCCTCCTGGAGTAGTCAGCGTCACCAGTTTCTTGCTGTGATTTTTGTAGCACTTTGCTAATTGTCGTGTTACTACAGAAGGGACATTGTGGCAATTGGCTCCACAAATGACCCAAGTCCTTAGTATGGCCAGTCGCTGGCTGCGAGAGCCGTGACGTTGGTGAAGTTTTATGAAGAACTTTATTTTCTTGCCCAGAATGTGTCCGGAATGAGTCACAGTGCCATCATTAATCGTGAGAACATTACCCTCTGCAGGACAAAGACTTTTCCATCCAGAAAGCCATTAGACAGAGGAACTGTGAACGTGTTTCATTCCCCGTTTTGAAGCCCAGCCATGTGTTTCCTATTAAATGGCATGACCGATAGGTGCCGCTTATGGTGACTTAATACAAACTCCTGTTGCTAAATGGCTCAAATTGATGTCTGTGTTTACTTTGCCATCTAATACAAAGCATAAATTTTTCTTACTCCGGTAACTCACCAAATTCTTGAATCTTTCATCGGAAGCTAATTGAGACAGGAACTACACCTGCACCATCCTGACCCCCTTGCTGGTGGGTGTTCAGTAAATGTTCCTCAGTGATTCCACAGAGACCCAGTGAGGTCGAAGCTCAGAGGGAGGAAGGACCTGAGTGGAGCGATAGGCGGGTTTTCATTGACCTTTCCTCTGGGTTAGTTGCCATCTCCCTCAGCAACAAACCTTAGCTTCTTGACCCCCGTCAAACCTTTGCTATCACTGGGCTTCCAGGAAAAGTAGTCACAGTGACTTCCTTACTCCAGCTCCTGCTGATAGGAATTCCTAGTGGCCAATCTCTTCGGTTACACCCTCCAGTCCTTTGTGAGGCAAGGGAAATGATCATGGATTAATGACTGACCCATTTGGACCCGCTTCCTTTGTTTAGGAACTTATTTTTCATTGCTGTTCATTTGCCTTGAGAAATAAGGGAGTGGGGGTTGAAGACGCAGAGCAGTGGGCTGGGAGTCCACAGAACTGAGCTCTATTCCTACCGTGGCTGTGCAACCTGGGGCACGTCATGGCCCTTCCCTGGGCCTCGGTTTCCCTGTCTGTACAGTAAGAGTTGGACTGCATGCCCTTTAGGGTCCTTCCCTATTCAAAGATCTATGGGTTGGGACCCCCTTTTTCCTGAAGTCCATGCTCTTGTCACCTTCCCTTTGTTGTCCCCAGACCCCAGGTGTCAATTTCTGACTTGGATCTCTGATGTGTCCTTCTAGGTTTTCTTCGTGTCCGACCTCTTCAAGACCAAGACGGCGCTCTCCCTGTCTCCCCCCATCAGGAAGGAGATCCTCTCACCTGTGGACATTATCGACAGGAACAATCACCACAACATGGTGTAGGCGCCGCCCGCCTCCTGAGCTGTTCTTGTAAAATGACTGCTGACAGCAAGGTCTTGCTGCTCTCCAATCTCATCAGACAGTAGAATGTAGGGAAAAACTTTTTACCCGACTGATTTTAAAAAGGAAAAAAAGAGTCTTACTTTGTGGCCTTCCAAAATAGGTAGTGTTCACCTATGTGGAGACAACAGCAAACTAACACCAAGTGCCAGAATCCTGGATGTGCAGTTGGTTGAAGTGTTCATGTTCTAGTGAACACGGGATTGTTCTGGAACAAACACTAAAAGGTTTTGAGTAGAGTCTGCCGGTCACCTTTGTGACCTGAGATGTGTCCCAGGCTTGTGAGAAAAGCTCAAATTCACATTGTAGCACGTGATGCCAGAAATAGCACTGAAGAAAGAAAATAGCCATTGAGGGGGAGACTCCCCTCTTGCGTCTCTCTGTCCACACCACTCTATCTTTTACTGTGACTTTGGTTCAGGATGTTGTTGTTTTTAAGTGTTGTTGTTGTTTAATACAGAGAAAGAGCAAATGCTTCGTCAAACGATCAGATCCTGAATCCAGATTCCTAGACCTAAAGCCTTATCACCCACTTCCTGGCCCATCGGCCAACACCACAGTCCCTCACATTAGTGATTAGGAGACTCTTTGTGGATGAGTGAATTTCACAAATAGCACAATTTCAGAAGAGATAGAGGGTCCAGGCCCTCATTTGTCTTCTTTGGACACATCATCCTGTGTTGTTGAAACATGGATTGCAGGATGCTGACGTATATCAATCACCCGGGCACTTGCACGCTCTTAGTAATGGCTAGCTTTGGTTACTGCTTTCCCCCTTGAAATCCTTGCTCTGTGCCCATCGGGATTTCCTGCGAGGGTCCGGAGACGAGCCAAGGCGTGGTCTGCAGCCGGCTGATGGAAAGCAGCCTTCCGTACACGAGATGGGGGAGTGAAGGGGCAAGAATGAAAAATGACCCAACCTTTTGGCTACTCAAAGTCAGGATGAGCCAGAGTAGCAGACGGTCTCATGCCTGAGAGGTTGCCCTTCGAGATAACAGAGCTGATGAGGGTCTCTGAGGGAGTCGCTCTTGCTAAGTTGTGTAAAGCACTACTGTCTTGGGGTTGATCTCTAGGGCAGATCTTGGTAGGTTCTGCTGGGCAGAACACATGGGTTAAATCTCCGTAGAGAGTTTTCATCCTGTATCCGTCCTCCCAGGCGAGGTCCACTCTAGGCAGTAGGCAGGACCCCTTCTACTGAACCTTTGAGGAAAGGAGGAAGGAAGAAATGCTTTCAGATCTCAGATGCACACCGGGCTAAATGTAACCACACGGATCAACCACAAGCACATCTTTACCACAGAAGCCGTCCTGTCATTTCAACATATAGCAAGCTATGATTTTTATATATAAATATTATATAAATAATGTATAAAACATTAAAAGTTAACTATGTAAAATATTATTTCTGAAACAATTTTAGCTATATCCACTATGATTATAAACTGTGTCTCGACCTGTGTTATTTCATTAGCTGCTTAAAAAAGCATTGAGTTAATTTTTTTAATATCAACTAAAATATTGTAGTTCTGTGGTAGACATTGTTTTACAATAAAAGAAATAACTGCAACTAGAGAAAACTGTATAAAAACATTAAATTGTCAGTATTTTTGTAAGGTTCCATTTTGTAAAGAGAATAATATTCAAAGACTTTTGTAGAATACAAAGTGAAAACTTGTATCTGCGAAACTATACTTGTATTAAATGTGCTTTTTAAATAAAAGCTCATAACACAACTAATTAAGGAGCTGGAAGCCTGGCATGTTTGAGGGATGTTTGCCTTGGGTATGTGGGTGAGAGGAGGGGGAATAGCAGGCCCATCTCTGTGAATGGGCTTGCCTTAACTCAAGGCACCAACTCCTGATTCTTTCAGTGGGAAATATGATGGCCGTCATATGGGTACAGATGTCAAAGCTGTTCTTTATCTCTGAAAGCCTGTTTGCCAAGCTTTCATCTCAGACTCTTTTTTTTTTTTTCAATTACAGTTGTCATTCAGTATTATTTTATACTAGAGGCCCGGTGCATGAAATTTGTGCACTGGTAGGGTCCCTAGGCCTGGCTGGTGATCAGGGCCTATC